GTTGACCAGGTGTCCGGGTGCGCAGGGGTTTCGGGTTTAACCAATAACAGATACTGAGGTGGGGGAGGGTGGGGCTCTACCACTAGGGGGCAGAGTCCTCCGGCGCAGGGTGGCGCAGGGTGGGGCCGGGCGGGGCGGGGCTTCCTCTGGTGCAGGTGGTGTCGGACGATGGAGGAGAACGCGGAAAAATCTCTCTTTTTCTGTTACTCATGGTTGGTTCCCTTCCCTTCCTTCTACCTTCCTTCGTCCTTCCTCCCCCCTCCCCTTCCTGGGCCTGTTGTTGGGTCTTCTTCTTCTTCTTCCTCTTCTTCTTCTTCTTCTATCATTTCCTAGACCGCTGGCCTTAACACCACCGACAAGGAAATGGAAGTCCTCCAACTGAGGAACGTGTCTTTCGAAGACTCGGGGGAGTATACCTGCTTGGCAGGGAATTCTATCGGGTTCTCGCATCACTCTGCATGGTTGATCGTGTACGAAGGTACCAGTAGTTCTGTCACTTCCTGTCTATCGTCCGACCTCCCCGACCTCGACTTCCGACCTCGCATTATCGCAATAAAAGGCTCTTGGACTTTTATTTGATAAACGGGAAAAGAAGGCGGAGGAGGGTCGGGGTTGCCGGCCACTTCCTGTCTTGAGATCTTCGCTAACCCGGACGTCGCAGTTCGCCAAACAAACCGGGATTGATTAAAAAGTCGGCGGGTAAGAATTCCGAAAAACAAAATGGACTCCAGATCTAGGCTAGTCTCTTAAATCGGAACCCGAAAACTCGCAAGGCGAAAGGCTCTGCTTTAGTGTTAGCTGGTTGATCGGGAATGTCGTAATAAGATGGGTGGGAAGAAATTTTTTTCCAAATTTTGCGATGATTTTTATTGAGCCGACGACCGATCAGATCTCAGAGGAAGAGTGCGATGTTTGTTTGGCGTCTGCGATCGTTCGGTCGCGTCTGGATCTCTCGCTGCTCCTCTGTTGGTGTTGACGTTTGTTTGGTCGAAAGATCGGAATTTTTTTTTTCTTTAACTTGCTCCACAGACGACACGTAGCCGTGGTCACCTGGTATCATAGTCACCTGGTATCATGATCACCTGGTATCATGGTCACCTGGTATCATGGTCACCTGGTGTCATGGTCACCTGGTATCATAGTCACCTGGTATCATG